ACCAAAACGTTGTGATTGGTTTAAAACGTTCTGAACAATGGAAATTCAACCAATGACCTAACGTTATTTTCAATTTAGTGTACGAACAATGAGATTACCCATAGTACTTTAGATTCTGAAAAGGCGAATTCTTGGAAAGTATTCAAAAGACATATTCAATATTATTTGGAATTTTATACATATCCAAAAATCAACGCCACTTTGCTTATTTCAATATTATACTAAAAAAATCGGATACGGGTCACGGAAATTATATTGAAATGATAGGGAATTTTGAAAAAAAATGTCTGTTTTAACTATAATTTGAGGGAGCTACCATTTGATTTTTATGGGGGGGCTAGGATGAAAAATTTTGTCCTGCTTTTTTTCTTAGTTGTAATCTCTGTCCTGCCTCTTTATTTTTTACTCTATTCGGTCCTGCCTTTTTTTACTAGTTTATCCTGAATTGTTTTACACAAATTGTCAACCTGCCTTTTTTTTTACCAAGTTGATCATCCTGCCTTTTTTTTTTACTCAAAACTCCTGTCCTGCCTTTTTTTCAAATTTCATCCTAGCCCCCCCCCCCCCCCCCCCCCCCCCCCCCCTTTCCCCTCATACAAATCAAATGGTAGCTCCCTAAGTGATAGACAGGTTGCGGGGACAGAAAATAAATATACACAACAATATACACCATTTAAACGAAACATAATGACTGTCGTTGCAAAAATCAAGGTTCCTGATCTATTTTAAAAATCGAAGCGAGAGGCTTTTAACATTGCAGTATAAAATACAGGCTAAAATGGCTGAAACGTCAAATTTGCAAACTTCGTGTTGAAAATTGGCTGACAAGGTCATTACAAAAACAGGTTGCGGGGATGAAACTTGAAACTTGAATATCCAAAGAATAAACAAGTCCAAACATTGTATGTGTAGTTGCTGAACTCTAGGTTCCCACGTAAAGGTAAAATGCCCCTATTTCAAGAAGAATAAACTCACGAAAACACGAAACAGTCACTAAATTCGCGTTCATTGTTTTGATTTTGACCGCCTGACAACTTTACGGAAATATCAGAGTGATTATAAACAAGGACTCTGTGACGGGCAACTTATAATATCCGTGTTTTAAAGATTTTAATGATATCAAGCCAGTCCAGGGTCAAACTATTATCACGTGGTACAATTCTCATTTACATATTATGAATATTAATTAGCAAAAGTACTACTAATTTCGGGCTATGATGGGATGGGAAAGTTAACCAAATAGAAAGACAGGTGTGTTGTCTAGAGATAACAAAGGGTGGAATGGGAATGATTAGTATCGATTTATTCATTAGAAGTAAACAAATAAAGTCTCTTTATCACATTTTCATGAACCGTTAGAAAGCTGGAATGCGATGGGCAAGTATTGGCTTCGACAATTTGATAATACGTATAATGATCAATATTTTTTATGTAAGTGCACAAACGTAACCGGACTAAATCTTATAAATAGTCCCTTTTTTATCAGAAAATGTCTATACATGGTTTTATTTTCTAAAGACTGGCAATAATCCAAAAACAAAGACAGAGATTATTTGGTAATTCAAAACTTTCATTCCAAAATAAGCCATTATTTGTTTCTTCCTTTCTTAAAAGTAACATGAAATATATCAACAACAAAAATGGAATGAAGAAACCAACAATTTTTTTAGTTGCAGATCTACATTTGAAAAAAAAACTTGTGGATAAAAGAAACAGGATATCTGAATTTTCACGAGTTAAAAGTTCGATACCAATCGATTTCATACAAATTTTAGAAACTGGTGGAAAAATAATGAAAATACTAACATAAAATTGAAACTTTCTGATGAAACGTCATATCAGATAGAAATGACAAAAAAAAAAAACCTAAAGAATTGAAACTCAAACATATTCGAGACATAATTAATGAAGATATAGTTCCTAAATGTGAAAATGAATGGTACGAAAGTTGTAAGCACGATTTTAATTGGAAAATAGTATGGGGCAATCTGAAAAAAAAACTAACATTGGCAATAAAACAAAGGACGGATATGAAATACATAGTGATCTCCTGATTTCATAAAGTAAATTGGTTTTCAAACTTATCCTCAAGAATCGAACACCAATTGACCTCTTGTCGATGTTTTGGAATACATTTCGCTGTTGGGATTTCATTTATTTCATATTTAAATTCACTAATAAAACAATCTATGTATTGACATTATTTATAATTCATTTATAATAAATCGTAACTGTATTATAATCATTGGACTTGACGTGAAAAGTGCATTTGACATGATTGTGCGTATTATTCAAACATATAACATGTTACTTTAATTATTCTTCCCTTAGTTTATTTATTTTGTATTTACATTGTATCATATATCAAATTTATTTCTTCAGTGTATGTTCTCTGGTGTTAATATGTCTTTTGATTGAGTTAAGCCATTTCAATTGATATTTTATAGTGTGTCTTTCTATGTTGTGATGTTACACTATTGTTTCAGATAAGGTTGAAGGTTTGGTACCATTAAAACGTTTAAACCCGCTGCAATTGTTTGCACCTGTCCTAAGTCAGGAATCTGATGTTCAGTAGTTGTCGTTTGTTGATGTGGTTCATAAGTGTTTCTCGTTTCTCGTTTTTTATATAGATTAGACCGTTGGTTTTCCCGTTTGAATGGTTTTACACTGGTAATTTTTGGGGCCCTTTATAGCTTGCTGTTCGGTGTGAGCCAAGGCTCCGTGTTGAAGATCGTACTTTGACCTATAATGGTTTACTTTTATAAATTTTGACTTGGATGGAGAGTTGTCTCATTGGCACTCATAACACATCTTTTTATATCTATAGACAGGCATGCTTTGCATGACTTTTTTGTTACTTTTTATTGGATGATTTTGTACTGTTATCGATCCATTGCCCATCCTGTGTTTGTCAGTGATAAAACCCCTCTATCGCCAATCGAGGAAAAAATATAATTTTTTGTTATTATTAAATCAACATAGACTTAAACCTAATTATCATAGGTAGTTTTTGGTATATATCAAGATTCGTATACGTCAACGTATAGATATGATTGGATTCGTTAAAACGGTTATAAACTGACCGGACTCTATACTGATAAGTATATCAATTACTGAATATATAATTGAAAAACGATAGAAAATAATCCAAATTAAAACCAATTTGGATTAATAAAAATTAATACTCATAAAAACAAATTGAACTCCGGCATTGTATTCGCATTCATCATTATATTCATATGTTAGTTAATTTAACATGATCAAGTAAACAATAATTCTACATGCATTTTTTTTCAAAGATAAAAAAAAACCAAAAAAATACCCTAAACTTTTATAGGTTTTTATATAGTAGTTATATACTTTATCATACTGAGAACAACCTCGACTTAGCCTTTGATTAATTTGTTTTATTTTTGTGGTTGAACCCCTGAACTTTTCCTTAACAAAAGCAGGAGATAATTTGCAAAATTTGTTTTTCCTTAACGTTTGTCATACAATAAAACAAAAACCGTGTGCTACGTCAGGTCAGTGTCCGGGATACATACTTCTTTGTACCTGCCAGATTAAATGTTTCACTGGTACGAATATCATTAAAATGTCACAAAAGCATAAATATTTTCAATAATGAATAGGGTACTTTTTTGGACGATTAAATGCACATGGACCACCTTGCGTTGTATATATAGCTCTGACTATATAAAAGGTTAAAGTCGACGCTTCCATGATTAAACAACCTGGAAGTGAGGTGAAGTATTAAATTAGAGAGCTATTTTCTCGTTTTTTTTTTTTAAATATGGAAAGTAAAACGGAATTGTATTATGATTTGAGTATGTCTGCGAAAGAAAATCTAATTTTTAAAATTAAACTTTTTAAATAGAGCACTCAGCACTTGTCGTGAATAGAATTTATATTTTAAAGACAAAATCATACGAAGGTCTTTTAGATATATAATTAACAATTAAAAAGGACACACGTTGGAAATGTTTTATTCTAGTTCGTGATACAAGTTTTGTAAAAGATAACTAATTGTTACAGTAAAACGTAAATACACAAATTAGGTACATGTAACAGTAGGCGTTTACGTACATTTTTCTCTGATTTCATTGTCTATTAAAATATTGCATACAGTAATTTAACATCATGACAGACATTGTAAAGTACTTTATTAAATTAAGATCCTTCATGGTATGCTCATTGCTAATGTTAACATGAAGAGACATTATATTTGTCAATGTCTTGATACCAAGCGGGACCGCGATGTAAGTTATTGACAAGTATAATACTTAGCTTATGTAAGAATGAGCAAAGAGCATGATATGAAAAAAAATCGATTCTAAAATTCTATATTTGTTGAACTTCACTTGGAAACGGTAGCCATTTTGTTTCGATAAGGCAAAATCGCTCTAAAACCAACATGTGTTTTATGATTAGATAAGAGATTTAGCAAATAAATGCAGACTTAAAGATTTTATTGAACTTCATAGCAATCAACTTCCACAGACTTATTCATTTAGATTTTCGGCGTCGTTGAAAATACAACTGACGTTGAAAAAATATCATTTGTAACGTACCAATGTTTAGCTGGAATTAAAATATCTGAGAATGTTCATTCATCCTCACTGCTGTATTTAAATGAAATATCATGGATTCGGTCTCTTTGTACATCTACTGTAAATAAAATATTTAATTATTCGAAACGCCAAGTAAGGTTTTTATAAGCGAGATTTGACACATTGTTTTGACTTTTCGGTTTTCAGTTCTCTTCAACATGACTATTTGTTCTTTAAACTGATTTGATTCTAACGCCACTGATGAAACGTGCGTCTGGAGTACATAGGATTGGTATCCTTGATTAGATCTCAAATGTGTGTCCTTTAGTTTTGAACGGATATCTTTATGTTTAATAACTTGTAATTTTTATTTTTATTTCATAATTGTTAAACATTTATATGTGTATCCTATCGTCGCCTTTAGATATTTTTTTCATATTTTTTCAGACAATGACGTCTTATTTCCTTTTGCTGGTTCTTATTCCGGCGTCAGCACTTATTATGGAGGATACAGTGCCACCAATGTTAGAAGAATGCTACTCTGCGCAAGTTGCTAAAAATACAACTCCATATGACGTTCAAACGAACTGTTTAGAAGGCTTTTTGGGACAAATGTACAAAAATACTAGCACTTTACGTCTAGGGAAGGATGCATTCGACTGGTTAGATTCTCTTGGTAGAGAATTACACATTCGGCTGAGACGACAATCAAGGGACAGGTATAACAGAAACAGATTGCGCGTACGGAAAGAAATACGAACATTAAGTGAAAATGAAAGGGAAAATTTTTTAGAAGCAGTACAAGCATTGAAGGCAGATAAAGTAAGTTTATCCCGCTGGTTCGACATACTTGAACTATTAGAATCAAACATTCACTGCAATTAAAGCCTTTGTATGAGATCGATACGAGGATATATCGAAGTATATTGACTGAGGACGAAGTCCGAGGATATACTTCTTTCTGGACGATATATCCTCGTTTCGACTACATATAAAGGTTACAATTGTTATATTATTATTGCCAATAAGCCAGAAGTAAAGCACCACCATGTAATATCACTTTTATATGAATAACTGTGCAATATCGCTTTTCTAAAAAAAAATTAATCATTATTTTGTTGTTTTTGGTCACATTTTAGACGAATGTATATATATATATATATTTAGAGTAATTATGTATATATAAACATATATATATAAAATGTATGAATAATAGCCAACAATAAATCTTACGGGGCGATGGATCATATAATTATGATACAGTACACTACAAAATATAATATATAATAAGCAAGTCTAAAAGGGTACAACATCACCAAAAAAAATAAAATCATGAACAAATGTTAAATATTTCGGATAACTAATATCCTACATCAGTAAGATGTCAAATGGTTCTTATCTTGACATGTGGTAGTCACACTATAATAGTAATCTTGATCGTTATACAAATTATATATATATAGACTTGTTTTGTTTTATGAGTTTTGTTTAATGAGGTGTAAGGTTTTGGAAAAAAACATCAATAGTTCAAAATTAAGCTGTATTATTGGTCTTTTTTCAAACATAAACAACTAGTATTGTTTTACATTTTATAAAAAGAAATCGACACTAATGAATGCTATTTGTTCATAAAATCCTCTCCGTATATTACCATCTTATATTAGTATCGCTGCACAAATCTTAAGACTTTTATATATGTATTTGATATACTCTTTGTTACATAGTTAAATTTCACAAAACGTAATGATAACGTCCATTATCACATATTTTTTTACGAAAACATTAGCTTTTGCATATGCAATAACCGCAAATTTGCCCTAGTCATATTCCTGTCCGGAGCAAATAACCAGTTATTGTGCCCTGTTGTGACGTCATAAGCAGTTAGTGTGCCCTTTTATGACGTCACACGCTTTCGGAACAACAATGACGGACGGGACACGTCGATTAAAATGACAGCGGAATTTGTTAAAGAAATAAAGAACACTAATACTAAGAGAAAATATTCAAGGACTACACATTTGAACGGTTGGGGAGCTGCGTCCAGATGAAGTTATTTCAATGGAGGACACAAAAATGTATAATCTTTGCCAGACGGAATAGTAAAATTATTTCTACTTTTTTAAGCATTTGTATAGTATGTGATAAATATATTATAACATATCCTTTTCCATATGGGCCCTGGTATCATCCCTCGACCCATATTGGGACGTTACCGGAGCCGATATTATCCTACCAGTTTTACCTTTGATCACCAGGGATGCAGGGATTGTCCTTAACGACGTTATTATGGACGACGTTTGATTGTTCTTATGTCACGTTACATTGATTGTTCGTTCCTGATCTAGTGTGGGCTTAACAATGTTTCAATCGGCAATCCTCGCGTGAATCCACTACTCTCCTTCTATCCATGAAGGTACGGAATCGGCCGAGTTGTGACGAATGAACAATGTTTATGAATATCTTTTCTTTTATCAGTCGTTCAGTCTCAGTTCACACATGTAGAAATCTTTATATTGGGAAAATATAGAATTGTTGAGTTAGATGTTTGGCGCAGTTTCTGATATGCCCGCTCGGATATATTTATTTATGAACTCAACTTCAAATATTCAGCCTTAAGTGTACACTCATCTTGCTAATTTTTCAGCTTTCTTCCTCATTTCAGACTTTTTAAATTTTAAGTATTCCAAACTAACCCGTTTGTATTCTTTTTTATGGATAGAGATAATTGAATGATTTCATATGATAAATTTTACTCTGAATATAATTTGTTCATTTGTCAATGATATATGTTTTAGTCGGTCAAACCAAACCAATATGATGTGCTTGCATTGATGCACCAAGGAAATGCCGTAGATTCTGCACATGGAGGCCCAAACTTTGTCAGCTGGCATAGATATTATCTCTTATTGTAAGTTGTACATTCTTTGTTATTACATGTACTAATAGTTCTAATATGATTCCCATATCTACAAATACTATAATGAGATTGGTCCGTTAGAATTTTTTTACGACATGACAATTATGGATTTGACGGTAGATAGAGGCCAATAAAAATAAACTATTTTTCAAAAGTTGCAAATGTTTGGGTTAAGAATTATAAGGATTAAACACATTTATATATTTTCTTCCTACATAAAAGTCTTTTTTCTGCCTTTATTGACGTATAATTTTGACTGCTCCCTTGGTGTTTTCTATATTCTAGTATACAAAAGAAATCCTTTTTTAAAGGAGGGGCGAAAGATACCAAACGGATATTGAAACTCATAAGTCGAAAACAAACTAACAAAGACATGGCAAAAAAAAAAGAAAAACGATCAAAATCGATTAAAACACAGCTAATGAATGAAAGATTATGTTACGATAAATATATATGATGTTTAATAACCTACAATTTTTAAACCATGTTTTATTTGCGAATGAATATTAATTTTATTAGAAACACTTCTAGGATTTACATAACCTTTAAAAACAAATTGTCAATGTTGATTGATTGTAAATGAGACAACTAATCGCCAGAGTCCCTATGACTTAATTGTAAGCAATAATAGGTCAACATACGACACGTAAAATTAAACCATTGTGGTGACGTCAGCCTATTCATTTACCGTGGATTCTTTTTCTAGAATCAACGCTTCCTAAATCTGCCGCTGAAATTGACTCACCAAATCATATTCAATTGTTTCCTTTGTGCCTAATTTCATTCAGTTTGAATTGGTTAATTTACTGATTTCTGTTCACTAATGGAATTAATTTAAAAACTTACCTTTAATATTTGTAATTTTTATATGCCTTCACTGGGAATCGAACCCTTCCTTGAAATCGGTTATGTGTGACTTACATCAACACACAGATAAAACCTCTCGGCTACCAATGGGTTACACTATAGATGTCTATTTTATATATTTAAATGAACATCTGATATACATCGGTTCATCGGACACACAGGGCTTGTACCTTTATATAGACACAATAGGTAGTCGTATAGTAAGAGTTGGTAGCCGCGAGGTTAGCATGGTTAAAATCAATGAGTTAAAGATAGGGATTTGTCGGTTTAGGTTCGAATCCCTGTATTCTCTCTGTTGTTCCAATTCTTAAGTTATCCTGGTTTTTTTTTTCTAATTTTGCATGTTATAGTGGATATTTTTGTTATAATAGCGAGTCTTACCGTTTTTTTTTATTATTATTGGCTATTTCACATGTTTGAAACAAAAACGATTACATTCTATTTGTCAATTTTTGTTTTATAAATATAGTATGATTTCATCTGTTTTACTACATAATTTTACAAAGGTTTGTTCGAAAATTCCTATGCGAAAAAATCGTGATGTGCCTAGAGTGCTAGAAAAATTTCGATAACATACTTATTATATATACTTTATCTATGCATTTTGGTCGGGTTGTTGTCTCTTTGACACGTTCCCCATTTCCATTTTCAATTTTATTAGAAATAATTTCGAATATGTCTTATTTTGTATAAACAGATAATATTCATATGCCTGGTAATATAAAGATCTTTAAAGGTAGAAGTGTTATATTTGTATTTTGTCAACCAATTAATTGTGATCTGAGATTTATCAATGCAATTTTTGTTTAAGTTATAGATACAATGGATAAGCGTAGATTCATGAAAAACAAACCATTCGCCCTCCGGGCTCATGGTTTCTTTTTCTAGAATCCACGCTTATCCATTGTATCTATATAACATAAACAATGAGCAAAACACTTACCACTTATTCAGCAATCAAATGCCCCGAAATGACACAATGTGAAACTAATCAAACGAGAGAAAAAACGGTCTGATTAATAGACCTTATCGCTATTTGGAAATCTGCGCCGCTTGACCCGAGAATCTGCGCCACTTGAACTATTGACGTCATACAACAATCACTTTTCCATTGTGGCGTCAGATATTTTCTATTGTGATGTCAAAATTTTACGGGAACCTTTGTGATGTCCAGTAATGGCGGACAAAAAGCGATAAGGTGAATAACAAAACGATGAAATAAAACAAATATGACAGACAATAGTCACCGACAGCCACTGAATTCCAGGCTCTCTATTTGCGACAGGCATTTAAAGAATTTTGTGGCGTAAAACATGTTTGTGAGCGCTTAACCCTCTCCTCACTTTGGACAGTGGTATAACAGCACAATATAAGAACAAACCGTAAAAACTATAAAGCACAAAAACAACTGACACAAAAACAATAGACACAAAGCATCGATATAAGAGTACTCGCTAGTTCAAAGCCCTTTGCATTGATAAATATATCATGTTCCCCAAGACTAATGCGGATTAGTGTTTAAAATTATTAAAATGGGGTCAAACGCCCCGAATACTTTATGTTGGGGGAGGGGGGGGGGGGGGGGGTAACAATTACTAATGCCTGAAAATATAGATCGAGTTCTTCTTCTTGTTCCGCCTTCTTTCCTTCACCTGATCATGTGGAAGTATTCAAAAGTACAAGTCAGTTGACATATATAAGAATAAGGAGATGTGGTATGATTGTCAATGGAACAATTATAGAGCAATGTCTCGATAACAGCACAAAATCATTAAACTCATCTAACGAAATCTAAAAAAAGACATGCACGCACGCCTGTCTATGTGTGAGCAAATAGCACAAAAACGTCAAATGTATTTTTTACGTTAGGTCCTATGAATATGATACATTTGCGTTTTTATTATAAATGAACGATACATAATGTAAATACATAGATTGTCTTAAAGAGTAAATCTAAGTAAACAATCCACACAAAACAAATCCCATTAGCAAAATGTATTACAAAAACTTCGACAAGAGGTCAAAAGTTTGAAAACAAATTCCATATAACAAATTAAAGATGTAATCAGGGAGTCACTGTGTATACATGTACACAGAGACATTCAATGTACACACATGATCAAGGTCAGTTATTTAATTGAATGCATTAATGTTTTGCACTCAATTACTCAGTTGGTCTGCTTGTTTCTGTTTAATACGATACAATACTGCGCAACAACAACAAAAAACGCAAGACGCCAAAACTTAAGAATGAGCAAAACAAACCCCGCCTTTAAACAGCGATGAAATCAATAGTGGGTGTAAAAAATGCTTTAATGATTTACATTAAAAACTGGCATAGTGTGTGTATGAGATACGCGGTTTCGTCTTTGAAAGTATTGTAATGATTACAGGTCATTATCTTATTTCCAATAATAAACATAAGCTTAAAAACATCAACGGTACCAATTTTACTGCAGCAGATGCGCATTTCAATAAGTAATGTTTCTTGAGTGAGGCAAAGTATTTCCAAAACCTAACACAAATGTGACAAATTCATTAAACTAATTTTGACCAAAAAGTTAAGCCGAACCCAGACAAGGAGTCAAAGCTATGCATGATAGAGTAAAATTACATAATTTAAAATGATTTCGAAATTTTATAATTCTGACATAACATTGAAACTGTTATATTTTACCTATTTATTTGTTTTGTTATTTGTAAATATAACCAATCGTTTAAAAATACAGGTTCGAAGATGCTCTTCGGAAGAAAAATAGACGAGTGACTCTTCCATACTGGGATTCAACATTAGATTTCTTGATGGATAAACCAGAGGATACTATCTTATTTACGGAAATATTTTTGGGGAACCCGAAAGGCATTGTATATTCAGGTCCGTTTGCATTTTGGTCAACTCCAACAATTCCCAAAACAATTTTAAGACGTGACATTCCAGGATCATTCAGTTCTCTTATTGATCCGCAAAAATTAAAACAAGTGTTTCGAAAAAAATATCACAGAGAAATATTAACACCGACAGCTGGATCAGCCGAGGCCAATCTTGAGGCACACCATGATGGTGTTCACGTGTGGGTTGGAGGTGAGGATGGACATATGGGAGGCGTCTACACTAGTCCAATGGACCCCGTTTTCTTTCTTCACCATTGCTTTATAGATTATCTTTGGGAAAAATTCAGACAAAGACAGAAAAGGTTTAGAATAAATTCAGAAAAAGATTATCCATCAACTTCTGACTCATTTCATTTACCAAATAGACTTATGGATAACTTGAAACCACCAAAAAAGAATATTTATGGGTACAGTAACGTATTTACGCGTAATATTTACAGATATGCACCTGCCCCGACTTGTAAAAACAGATGTGGAAGAGCTCATAAAGGTTTTTTATTTTGTGATAGAAAGAAAAACGCATGTGTTGCCAGATCTAGATATGATTTTATGCGTGAAGATGGATTTAAAAGTGTTAAAAACTGGTACAAGGGGGGAATTAAGAATAGCATACCAAACAGTCTTAAAACTCAAACAGTAAACACCAGGACACGTATTCGATCCAATGTTGACGCCGATGCAGGAGTACCCTCCGGGTTTGTTTTGAAAGAAGACATCTCCAAAACTAAAGCTAACAAGGCTCCGCCAATCAAACGAAAATTTAAGGCGCGTATTGTAGATCCTAGAACTAACAGTCGTCAACGCAGATCAGTTGATGCTATTTTCGTAGGCAATAATGTCAGAATTGCCTTTGATATAAATTTGCACCTGAAACAGGAGATGAGAAATAATAGTTCATTCAATTGGATTCCATATAACTTAGACAATTTGGCTGTGTCCCCAATAGCGATAATAAACAAACACGAAAGAAATCGTAGCCCAGGACATGACCCACTTAAAACCGAAAGAACATTCAACATTTCATTTCAAACTGATGGATTTTCCTATAGTGGTAGACATCTGGAATACATTTCTGTAGATGAACGCACACTCACGTCTGAATCAGTTGGTCTTATTGCTTTTGAGAAACCAGTATCTGGAGAAACAAAAGCCTATGTAAGGGCGTACGACTCTTACGGTAAATTATGTCAACCAAGTTGTCTGGTATCAAAATTAACGTATAAGGAATGTTCTGGGATGATAAAGATTACATCCGATTATCCTCGTATGTATGTGGATTCATATGATTCAGATTCAGATATGAAACCATTTTTGAAGTTCGTTTGTGTAAATTAAGTTAATCATGAATTTTCGTTATATGTCTATCGAATATTTAATATCGATGTCAAAAAAATTGTACTAATTGTTCTAGTATAAGATACAACCTTTATCACAAATAAAAGAGAAAAAAAAGAAAATACTTATTGTTTTCGCCAAGTTTCAAACTTTTTTTCCTTCAAAGATTTCCTTTAATTGTTTTTCTTAAGATTAGCGGTCTTTGAATTATAAAATTTGGTATAAATGCATTACTACGTGAAGTCTCTTACAGTGTTTCAATGACCAGTAAACAATATAAGACACATAATTCATATTGGAGTGTACATTTTCCTTAGAACATACACATTCAAGGTCTGGGATCCAACTTGTTTACAATTGCCCTGGTTCTTTTTTTGCTTGAATATCTAGTATTGTCTTCATATCCTTATGTTTATGAGCGGCTTTACCATTTGATAGATGTATTTTCTATTATGTTTTTCTTTTCCATGAGCATTTCAGCAGATTCATTTTTACTTCTTAACAAGATGTTGTACTTTTTACAGAGAACAGTACTATATAGTACTCAATAGATTGTATACTGGCTATAGATGAAATGCTTTAACAAGTACAACCCTTTTGATTCAAGGACTAGTACTCAACAAAAGTTGTCAATAGAATCTCGGACACTTTCTGGATTTACCCTCACCATGAACGCTCATACCAAAACAAAAAATGAAACGAAGGATTTATAAATACCAGAGGAGCTGTATGACCAAGAGGGAGTTTAAGATAATAGTCAAATGTATCTAATGTCAGTAATGTCTGAGGGAGTTGGAATTTTAGTTTCTTAATCATTTCTATATTTATCAACGGATAATTTTTGAAATGATGTTATAAATCGTATTAGTACCGAAGTACTGACTACTAACCTGATAATATCCTCGGGGAATTACAGTTGTATCAGTTGCTAGCCAACGGAATTTTAGAAATATTATATATTCCAGATATATCCTATTAGTAATTACTATTAGTATATGATAATACAAATATGGAGATATGGTATGATTGTAAATGAGTCAATTATACACAAGAGACCAACGGACAAGTATACAAACAACTGTTTTACCGATTAAGGTGCTTGACAAGTATTATTACCATCTCATATACAAATTATGTAATGTCATGCAGATCTGAGTTATCAAATGTTCAACAAGGAACAGCAAACTAGTGTTAATTAAAAGATATCTGCATTAAAAATACCAAATAGATATAAGAAGAAGTGGTATGAGTGCCAATGAGACAACTCTCCATCCAAGCCAAAATTTATAAAAGTAAGCCATTATAGGTCAAAGTGCGGTCTTCAACACGGAGCCTTGGCTCACACCGAACAGTCAGTTATAAAGGTCCCCAAAAATTACTAGTGTAAAACCATTCAAACGGGAAAACCAACGGTCTAATCTATATAAAAAACGAGAAACGAGAAACACTTATGAACCACATCAACAAACGACACTACTGAACATCAGATTCCTGACTTAGGACAGGTGCAAACAAATGCAAATGTCTATTTAAACTGTATTAGTATTTCCTCTTTTCCTTGATTTAATAAAAGCATCCAATTTTCATGTTTTATTCAAATGTTTGTCTTATGGTTACACAACGTTTACCAAAGTAGTAAAAAACTGAGTTTTGTCGCTTTGTTCGAAGAAAATCACTATTTGCAGCTTAATTTATAAGCAATGGACAATTAAACACTTTATGTTGCCTGGACCGACATCAGTTAATATAGGGTCAAAATTTAAAATGACATAGGAAAACAAAAGGATATCGATTGACAGTTAGGTACATTTTTTTATTGTAATGTTTAAATCTTTGGTTCCTTGATAGTACGTTGCTTCTTAAAAGTTATTTCATGTTACGGACGCCACCATGTCTCGGTCGGAGGTAACATAATTAACTTGACTGTGACGATCAGGAATATTTTCGATTTGTCACGACCACAATTCCGTCCTCCTTTCATCGTACACTAACTACGACATACATCTGAAATTTGAAGCTAATAGAAAAACATAGCGATCGCAACGTGACAAACAAATACTCCACTTCATTGCCGTTATAAATACAGTGACAAATTTGCAATTAAGGACACTTATTGCAATTTACATAATTTTAATTTAAAAGTTTAGCAAACCAATGAAATCATTCTCCATCGTACCTTATAGATAAAATTAGCGGCAATAATAAACAAAATCCTAAAAAATTCCGTGTCAAAGAATGCTTGCAGCAATAAGTTTAATATGATTAATGAAAATATTTAATGACAGTTCTTATGTAAATGTGTTTGCTCATTAAAAATGTAACTAGTATCGTTAAAGAATTTATATATATAATACATGATGAACTTGAAGTAAAGATTCTAGGTACAGAATTTGTTTATCGTCTTAAATACGCGTTATTTTATTTGTCTTTGTAAATGATTAACCTTTACTGTTTAGTCATTTTTTGGTAATATCCTTTTGGCGTGTCTCGGTACTTATACATCTCGCCTTTGTGTTTTTGTGCTATGGTCTTTTTGTTATTGTTGTCTTTCATTTTTGCTTATATCCTTTGTGTATATGTCATTTTTGTTTTAAAAGGGATTAAGATTATAACACAATTTGGACTGCTGTACCCCCATTTTTTACATTTTTACCTATTATGCTTGTTTGTTTTGTTCACACATTGTTGTCAATATAATGGAATTTTATGCGACTGTCATACAAGTGAGAAGTTTAGCTAGCTATAAAACCAGGTTTAATCCACCATTTTCTACATAACGAAATACCTGTACCAAGTCAGGAATATGACAGTTGTTTTCCATTCGTTTGATGTGTTTGAGCTTTTGATTTTTCCATTTGATAAGGGACTTTCCGTTTTGAATTTTCCTTGGAGTTCGGTATATTTGTAATTTTACTTTTTGAATGAAATATCACCTTTTATGAAATGTTTCAATCTTGAAAGTGACTTCAAACACGTGCAGATCAAAAATGCATTGATATGATTGGTGTTCCCCATATTTCAAGCTTAGTACTTAATGTGACTTAAGATGAAACAGACACTTAATCTGTCGACGCACCTACATTCGTACCATTTTTTTTTGGGGGGATTATTTTAGCTCAGAATTTTAGCTGCTGTATAAACATTGTCTTATGAGATTAAATAACCATCGATTAACCATTTTTATGTGCATAGTCGGGTCTTTCCAATTCCTAATAATGAGTTAGGTACAGCGCTAAGGTAATAAACAGTTTAAAACTTTAATGGTAGGCAACACATCATCCTGAAGTGTTGCACTCGTGTGCCAAATATCAAAAGCCTTTGTTAAAGTATTAAAGATCTCACACTAATTTTCTAGGAATGTCGCTTTTATAATATTGGATAATCAAAGTACTGAAGTACTGAACATCGGATGACCGCAGCTTCTTGTGTATGGTCAAAAGCACATGTCACAGAAACAGATCACATCTCTATACCTGAAACTGAGGTTAATTTACAGAGATTTTTTTTTCTGATACAAGTTCCTGCTTGGATGATGAATAAATGACAGGAAATTCAACCTCACCGTAATAACTATTATATTGTAGTGATACAAATCAGTATACCTTAGACTATTATACTAATATAATAATAGTTCCAGAGAATACACTGGTTTGTTGTTATATATTATATTAATATTACGGTTGCATGTATATATAATTTTCATCTATTTGTATATCATTCTATTCTACTATTATTATAGTGTAGTGCAAGTGCATGGTGGACACTCTTCTGTAAAAAAATTCAAAGCCTTAAAGGCTGTAAAAGCAATTGCTGCCATGTTAATGCTTTGTGGACTTTTATTTTTTATCCATATATATAAGAATTAAACCTGACAGGACAGGAGTGTTGACTAGTGAGAAGAAAGACGGTTTTAACTTTATACCAATAAAAGACTTTAGCAGGAAATCATTTTAAATATGTTTTATATTTCACAAGGAGACAACAAGTTTACCAGGCTAAAGTTGGGGTTTATTATTAAAAGTGCTGAAACATATAACTAAAAAAAAAATCAATATGGATTGTCCCCTGGTAGTGTTTGTAACTGGGCAAGTATTTCCTTTATTGATTTAATTTTAACAATTTTCATAATTAATTTAAATTAACCATTCAGTTAAAACATTTCAACTTTCCAGACGCAAATGTTGAAAAACGGGCAAGAAATAAAATATCTTACAAGACATAAACATGTAAAAAATAAATATATATTTCAGCTTACTAAAAATATTTTCATAATGTTACTTTGACATCATTTCTTAAAACTAAGTCCCAAACATAATTGCTCAGTTGATATGTGTCATCCTCATGCGATACGAGATAACTATAATTCTGACGCAATCCCGAAAAGGGGGGTCATCACAAACAAACATGACATTAAATTGTCATTATACGAACTAGAACAAACAGCTCTTTGTTGCTTTGATATTTATCAATTTTCAGGAAACATGTGAAATAAATTTCAGGTCCATTTCATTATAGTGCCTAACAAGATTGTGTGAGGTAGACGAAATTGACCTTAAAACGATCGTATTGTCTTTTGATGTCCAAAAATAGGCAGATCGGACATATAAGGACTTTATCTAATGACTACATAAATTTGGGATTTATTATTATTATAATATTCTAATGAAACTGAAAATTGTATTTTTTTGTTAGGATAAACAACAATTTTACCTGGCGTAGCCGTGCATAAAATGTTTTTTCTGCGAAAAATGGCGTATTTAATGGAATAGAACGTTAATACAGTAAACTTTCTCTTTTTTCTCCGCAATAGGCTATCAAAAATAATTTATCTAATGTGTATGTGGAAAATTATGTGAAAAGATAAAAAGTGGCAATTGTTACCTTTCATACCTTAAGTTTCATTCATATGCCGCTATTATTGTTGTTGTTACCAATTATGTAAATCAATTGTATCTGATTTTATGCCCTTTATGGGCCCTGTAATTTGGAAAATACAAAAA